GTTTCTTCAGCTACTGCTGCTACCTTTATTTAATTTTGTGATGGATTAGGGTTGATGATCGAATAAAAAACAGAAACATAAAGAAGAAATAAATTTACATGGTTCACCAACAACAAATTTATTGCAGGTGGCTAGGTTACAGATTACATATTGCGTATCTCTCGGTCTATTTTGTTGATATGCCTCGAACGTAGGGAAGGATATTAGATATTATATCCTAGATTTATAGATATGATTTAGATATTAATGGAATAGGCTCATGCTATGAAGAAGCATGTATTCTCATTCTAACAGGCGGTCAAGCGGCTCGGCTTCGTAATCTTTAACTTAGCCGTACTAAATAAATTTGTTCTCTGTTTTTGCCTGATGTAGCCAACATGCTATTGGTGAAACACATAAATCTGTCTTTTTCACATTTCTATTTGTTATTCGATCATTAACCCTAATCTATCACAACAAACTCGTTTCAGAGCATGGTCATTTTGATCAGGGTTTTGTTTATTTCCGCACTGCTAGGGTTATCAACACTATCTACTTTCAATGTAAAGGTTGAAAAATTCACCGAGAGAAATAGTTTTAGCTAATGGCATATCAAGATGCGATCTTTTCTGAAGTGGCAGAGTTTGTCGGTACCGCTATCTGAAAAACCGAGAGGTGCAAACATAGATCATGAAGAGTGGGATACCGCAGAAGAAAAAACCCACTACACAATCTTATTGTGTCTGTTTGATAATGTAATCATCAAAGTTGCCGATCAGGAAATTGTTGTTGGCCTCTGGAAGAAGTTGAAGAGTTTGTAGTTGAGAAAATCTCTAACGAATAAGTTTCTTTTAAAGCAACGTCTTTTCAGGTTACTAATGCATGAAAGAACTGTTGATAGGTTCACCAAATCGGTCCATCATAGCAAGTTTCGACATTGTTTGGACTTGCTAAATGTCACAAGTTGGTAGTTGCCAGAGGTGGGGCAAATATGAGGAAAATGGAAAAGTCTGTTCATAGAGCATTGTAATGATGCATCAGAATGTGGAATTCAAGTAAATGTGGAGATTTGTTGATATGCTTTGATGCTAGTTTGCCACTTGTTCATCTTGCATTGTATTGTTACATCTGAAAGTGGGATTGAAGTCAAAGTGGAGATTTGTTGATATGCCTTGAAGCTAATTTTCCACTTGTTCATGTAGCATTGTAATGATGCATCTAGAAGTGGGATCCAAGTCAAGATAGAGATTTGTTGATATGCCTTGAATCTAGGGATCCGATTTGGATATTAGATATTATATCCTAGATTTAGATATATGATTTGGATACTATTGGCATAGGCTAATGCTACAAATAGGCTTATGTCATCCTGTCTCCGGTAAGTCTTCTGAATAAAACATGAAGGCGTGTGGATATGGAATTGTTAACCCAGGGCCAATAGAGGTTGATGTTTGTGGCTCTGCGGAGGCAACAATATTCGACTTCATGGAAACATTGTTTCGGGATGGAAGCGCCATAATCTAAGGAGTTGCTGCCCAAGGTTAATGGAGGTTGCTGCCCAGTGTCTGTGAAGGCTGTTAGTTTCGGCCCCGTGGAGGCAACAATCCTTTGCTTTGTAGAGGCAACATAGTCTATTGTAGGTTGTTGCTTTCGGCTCTGCAGAGGCAGCAATCCTTTGCTTTGTGGAGGCACCATAGTCCAATGAAGGCTGTTGCTTTTGACTTTGTGGAGGCAACAATGTTTGGCTTCGTAGAGGCAGTAAGCTTTAACTTTATGGAGGCATGCTTCTGGATGGGCTTTCGGCTATAAGACGTCTTCCATACTTCGAGTATCTTGGACTTGCGGTCTAGCACAATCATTCCTATCGTATCAACTTGGTGTTCCTTTTTCTACTATAAAAGTATACTTGGAGATTTAAGCACCAATATGTTTATGTTTAAAGACATGAGCAACCATGGCTGATGTTCTACTGATGTATTAACTTACTGTCACTTGGTGTTTTTACGATTTTATAAATCAAATAAGCGCTGATGTAAGACACTTACACAAATTCATTCCAATTCCTTTTGTAAATTTACAGGAAAATTGCATATTTGTAATTTCTTTCAACGCATATCTTCACGTCAAGATATTGGCAGCAAAGACACAAAGTGTTGGAAGGCCAAATCAAGTGTTTCCTCCTTCCAACCAACCATATAAATCGTTAACTTTTATTAGATAATGTAGGAACACGCCGGTGACGGCTGTTCATTCCCACGGATCGTTGTTGGATGCCAACGCGTACATACATGGTATAAGACGATCCTAAGCATGCTCCTATAAGAATGAACTAGAGATGTACCCTTTTTGGAACCACCAACAGCAATCACGAACAGGTTGATTCCGCTAGAGACCTTCCAGACTGTTCCCGAACCCCGCTCGAACACCGGATGGGCGGCGATCTATCAAACGGAGGGAGACGAATTTTGCTCTTCGTGAAACCCTAGAGCTGACGGCTTGCACCTGTGGTTTTCGCCTCCTTTTGAAAAACCGTCCCTAGGGTTTGACAAAGACCGCATATTAATAAGTCTCCCAACAGGTAATTGGGCCAGACCGGGGATCTTTAGAAGGTGTTGGGCTCGGGCTCCCTTATAGATCCAAATCTCTATATTCAGCCCTGAATATAATTCGAATCATAAAATATTAATTCATTCCATTAAAGAATTAATATTGCACTCCCAGCCCAACCCAAATTGAATCTGGGCTTCTATTAAACTTAATTAATTCCCCATGTTTAAGATGTTCCACATCCATTAATTAATTAAATCTTCTGACAATTTAATTAATTAATATCTTTTAATTCCTTAAGTAATACCACTCAAAACTTATTATTGTACGGATTAAATCCACCTGCAGGGTTTATACAATAATCCTTATTGAGTTCCTTAAGGGGATGTCATCAACCTGGATGTCCAGGACATGGTGCCTTAATGATAATAAATTAATTACTATGCGAATAATGTAGTTGCCCAAAATACGAAGCATATTGAATCACTAAGGATTCTCACTTATGGTAAATTAAAGCAACGAACATTTATTCCATATATTTAATTTATTTCATCTAAGGTTAAGAATTAACAGAGTTACCGAGATCTTGGTTCTTCAATGTCAGAATAGAAGAACATATCTCAACTGTGATCCTTTCAATGTGACGCAGCACATTAGTGTAAACTAATAGTCAAGACAAACTAATTCCAAGTTTACACTACAACTTAAACCGATGGTTTTGTCCATAACCATCTCAGTTGTGAAACCCATTTATATTTAATAAAGAACTGACAACAAGATCTTCTGTGTCTACAATATTAAATAAGTGGACATGCTAATATATATAAAACATAAATAAAAGCAACACAATGTGAAATAACAATTTATTTATTCCAGTTAATAAGGAAATTGAATGATACAAAAGCGTACTAAAAGTTTGCTTTACAGTATAATCCAACAGATAATTGTATAGGATTTAAAAGAAATCCATAATTTGAATTTGTAATATAACCAAGTTCACATGAAAAAACTAATCAGAAGTCAGCCAACTCCAACCTTGGCATATATGGAAGGATTATCTTTCCCAAGCCATACCAATTCATTTTGCAATGTATTAATATTTCCCAATACCTGCCAGTCACAATGAGCTTTAATATCCTAAAAGAACAATTATGGGCAAGTGGTTTATAATTTGAAATGTAGACCTTATTAGCAATAACAAAAATTTAGGAACTGAGAAGATTCAAGTCTCAGTTATGTAGGCAATCATACAAAATAGATTGAATGTAGCTCCACTTTACACTTGCCACATAATTATATAATACACACAGGAATACTTCTCAACCTTACTAGTAAGTACTCAAGCAAATACATCTAATTTATTTAAACCAATATTTCTATTGTGCTACAAGCTTAAGATCGATGCTAAGCTTCCATTCTTAATTAAATTTTAAGAGTCATTTTTGGTAAAAATAGTTTGTTAAGGTTACAATAGCAAGCCTTTTCTTGGAAACAACAGTGTGTTAAGTTATAACAGTGTAGATCGTTGGCTTAAGATCACTTTTGACACGAGTTCAAACATGAATATAAAGAACAAGCCTGTTTGGTAAAAATAGTGTGTTAAGGTTAGAATATAGTTGATAATGCTATTGTTGAGAAAAATAATTAGTAATGATAAAATAGCCCTCTTCTTGGAATGATAATTGAAGGGCTATGATTTTTCTATTACTTTACACACTGCTAGTTAGAAATCACATGCGTTAAACTTTCATGTTATATGCGATATTCGATTGATATTGATTGGATTCTACCTAATTTCGGTGCGTATTATTTATTTCCGACATGTAGGAGAGAAAAAGAAAATTTGGCGTGATTTGAAGAAGAATGGAAGAAAATTTCAAATTTGCACCCCCGAGTTAGTCATGACCATGACTAACTCCATCCTCTTTATTTGAGAATTTAATTAAAGGACCAAAGCCCAACTCCTAAAAAAATAGTGCAAAATGAAAAGAAAAAAAAAAGGGAGTCATATACGAAAAGAGGAGAAGATGGCGGAGGAGATACGCGCAGGGAGCAAGAGACTGAAAGACTGATAGATCGCACCAGGAGCAAATCGACAGAGAAGATTTCCCTTCCCACTATGATTTTATCTTTCTCTTTTGTTTTTTGCTATTTAATTATAAAGTACTTACTTTTCTGCTTTGGGGATGATAATGTTTTGGTTCTTAGATTCTTAGTTTTCTTTATAAAAACTTTTTTAATTATCAATATTTGTTTAATCTTAAAAATAATGTTAGTGATTGTTACATTGATTGGATATTGTGGTACCGATATTTAAATTGGTTTGATAATCTAAAGTCAATTTAGGTAAGATATCCGTAATTGTATCTGTATTTGAATAGGTGACAACCGGGTTGAATAGTTCCTTCCCGGGGGTTAGACAATCAAACATAATTGCTCCTACTAGGTAATAAAAGGGTAGTTAACGGTCGTACCTTAATTACCTATACTATAAGGAAAAATCGGTTGTCAGAGTTTGTTGATAACTATAACCAACTTATTGATACTTTAATAAAAACTAATTTTATTGAATCAATGATAAAATAAAGTGTCATGACTGCATCACCCCTATGCCAGGCATTCCCTTGATAGCTAGTCCTCAATTGATTTAATTGCTTTGTTATTTTTTCTCGGATGAAGTGAAATCGGACGTCGATGTGCTTGCTCCTTCCGTGATTGATCAGGTTCTTGGCCAACTCAATCGCCGACCTATTATCAACTCGGATCACAGTCCCTTCACTATGGAGCACTCCCAGATACCTTAGAAGATTTGAAAGCCAGACTGCATGACACACAGTCCAGGAAGCCACCACATACTCAGCCTCACAGATCGACAGACTTACAATAGGCTGTTTTTTTTACAGCCATGTAAAGGCTGCACTCCCGAGTAAGAATACATAACCCGAACTACTTTTTCGGTCATCAGCATCGCCACACCAATCGCTATCCGAGTAACCCACTAGTCTGTAATCATCTGATTTTGCATAGAAAAGACCTAGTGATAAGGTGCCTCGAACATACCTCAGAATTCTCTTCAGGGCCTTCCAATGTGTATAACTTGGATCCTCCATAAATCTGCTTGTTATTCCAACACTTAGCATAAGGTCAGGTCTCGTATTGGTAAGATGCCTCAAGCTACCGATTAAACTTCGATATCTTTCGGGATCAGCTCGGTCTCCACCATGGTTCGCCGTCGCGGATCGGCCTTTACCGTTCCAGATACGTCGCGGCGTATCGGTCGCGGTGTATCGGTCAAATATCAGCCTATATGATTTTTTTATATAAAATTTATATTTTTTCAAAAAAATAATAAATAATTAATTAAAATACATCAAATTATAAATATAATTAATTTAAAAATATATATTATTGAAAAAATATATTATAATTTATAATAGATCAAAATTTAAAATGAATAATATTTCAACTAAATTAGCGGATATATATAAATGTAAATGCTAAATTTTATGTTTTGCATATTGTCATTATACTAATAAATTTATTTTAATAACAAAATGATGTACCTTGTGTCCGTCAATGTCAAGATTTCATCTTTATCATCTGCATTATATAAATAAAAATAATTAGAAAAAAAATACAAATAAAATTTTATAAAATGTTCAAACTACGTTTATACTAAATATTTATACTTACCATTCAATACCATGTGGAATGTCGTGGAGGTTCAAAATCATTTTCATCTGGATTCATATTGCTTGGATAAGGAGAGATGTTCGAACCATATTGATTTTCTCTGAATGAACCCCTTCCATATACATCAAAACCTCGATATTCTCTATTATCATTGCTTCTGCTTGATGAACCATAATTTTGTCTACGATCATCAATACTACCCGAACCAGATGTAATCCCTCCGTAATATGTTCCAACTGGTTGGTTGGATCCAAATATAGGAAGATTGGCTGAATCCTGAAGATGTCTGGGTAGATTAGATAAACCGTATCCTGAGTAATAGGGATTATGATATGCATTTGGTTGGTCTCACTCCTGTCTCCCCAATCTATTACTCGAGCTATGAGAAGAATCTCCATAGGAATAACCTATATTCAAGTCTTGCATATGTTCGTGAACTCCAGAATATCTCCTAGTATCTGAAAAATTTGAAGCATCGGCTTCACTTGAAAATTCTGTTAAACTATTTAGAAAATCTCTTTGAGCTTCTATACCAGGACGATATCCATGATCAGTGTTTTGGGTAGCATAATAATTTTCATTTCCTTGAGCCCATCCCATATCACTTGAGTATCGGCTATCCCTGTAGCTCCCACTACCACCACCACCACCACCACCACCACCACCACCACCACCACCACCACCACCATCATCATCATCATCATCATCATCATCATCATCATCATCATCATCATCATTGTTATTATTCTTATCTTCACCATTAGTCGATGAAGATGAAGATTCCAATATGATTGCTTTTTTTTTCTTGGCCGTATTTTTGTTTTCTGATTTTTTCTCTTTCGCCTTCTTTTTTCCATCAGCTATAAATTGAGATAAAAGCATATCACTGTCATGATCATTATGCTCACTTTGACCTCGATCTCCACTTTCTTCAATAGCCTCATCCAACCAATTCAAATCACTATCACGAATAAGTGGAGATTCATTTTCTCTAACCCATTCATCTAAAATATCATTTTCATCAAAAATATGATTCAAATCAATTGGGTCATAAAAATCGTCTGTGTCTGTCCTTTGCATAAAATTTTTTACCCGAAGACGCATGTTGTAGTGGACATAGACTAGCTTATGCAGTTTCTCAATAGCTAATCTATTCCGAAGTTTAGTATGGATCAAAGCCCACGTACTCCAATTCCGCTCACAACCCGATGATGTGCAAGTTTGACTCAAAACTTTTAATGCAATTTTTCTTAAATTAGGAGCTTCATCACCGTACATATTCCACCAGTCAGCTATTAAAAATAAATAAAAAATTATTAATAATGCAACATTTTATAACAAGTATATTTAAAAATATAATTAAATGATAAATTTCATAATACATACCTGGTAAAGATGTAGATACAGCTCTAATAGCAAGTGCACTTCCAAACTCTCCAATTTTGTTAACAAATATGTTTATCTATAGACAATATAATAGTAAAATTATTAGAAATTAATATATATATATTTATATATTATTTATAAATTTCACATAATTTACCCCATTCATAGCCTTTACTTGTATATCCAAATCTGGCTCGAGTCTTTTGATAACTTCTTTTACTCCTTTTCGAACCTCCGATGAATCAAATTCACAAGTGCCGGAGTATTGAAGACCAGGATTTAAAAAATAAGCTGCATGAAATGTATATAAAATTAAAAAATAAAACAAACGATTAGCACAATATAAAAACAAAAAAATAACAAGAATAGTTACCTGCTGCATGCAAATCTTGATGCAATTGATTATACCATCTTTCATCGATGATATCCCAATATTGTTGAAAATCTTTCACCGCGGTTTTTATTGCCATTTTTGCCCTATCCATTGCCTCATAAATGATAGGTAGTGTAGGTTTTTTATCTTGATCAACTACTTTTAAAACCTTCACTAAGGGTTCCATGACCCCACAGACTCGGCGTATCCGTTTCCAAAATCTTTCATTCAAAATCAAGTCTGATATATCTCCGGCTTCATGTCTTCTCCTCGAGGTATTATTGTACTCAACCCATTCTCTAGAAGTACACATTCTTTTCAAATCGGTTGCATATCTCAGAAGACTTTCCATTGCAACAAACTCGGTTGCAAATCTTGTTATGCCTGGTCGCAACAGATCTCGGCCATTCGTATATGTTTTCATCAAATTAACCACTTTATCACTGTTGTATATAAATCCTGTAATTCTTCTGGCTTCTTTTATCGTATCTTTCACTGACAATATATCTCCGATGTCTTCTAACATCAAATCAATGCAATGCGCTGCGCATGGAGACCAAAAAATGTGCTTCCTTTTCCTCATCAGTTTTTTCCCAGCCGCCTTCATACTAGCTTCACTATCAGTTACAATTTGTACAATATTGTCAACCCCTACTGATTCCACCACCTTATCCATTAGGGTGTAGACAAAGTCCGCAGTCTTCGCCTTATTTGTACAATCAACCGAACTGTGATATATCATATCTCTATCACAGTACACCATAAAATTTATGATTGGATGTTTTGTACGAGTACTCCAACCATCACACATAATTGTACATCCGTATGTTTTCCATTTCTGCTTTAAAGAATCAACATACTGTACAACTTCTTGCATCTCCTCGTTTAAATATTCACCACCAATTTGTTTACCAGTAGGTCCTTTAACTCCAGGTCCAACCGATGCAATCGTGTCAATCATCGTTTGGTAGTAAGGACCACTATCGGCAGCGTGAAATGGTATTGCATTAAAATGAAAAAATTTCGAAATTGCTCTACCCACTTTTTTTGCATTATCTTTTGAAAACATATTTTTCAAAGACTTATTCTTCGATTGAAACATGTATGGATCAAGTTTTTTTTGATGCAAACCTTCTGTCTTTTTCATAGAGCTTTCGAAAAAATTTCTTTTACTTCCTTTTGTATTCGAGCTGCTTCCTCCTACAAAGATAAAAAAAAAAAAAAAAAGCATATGATCATATATGGTTGTTATCTCAAAAAAAATATACTAATATTTAAATATATTTTATAAATTTAATAAATATACCGGCTTTAAAATTCAAGCTTGGTAGATCTCCGGAAACAGAATGTCTACGCTGCTGCTCCATAAATTCCATATTTCTGCTTTCAGCCATTGCTCTTTTTAAGTGTTTTCTTTCAAGAGCATCTATCTCATCTTCATTTATTTCAAAAACTTCATCTTCTTCCTCATCAGAATCATCTTCCAAACGAATGGAATTTTGCAATGCTTCTAACTTTTTTTTATGTGCTGCTCGCATACTTTTTCCTTGGATCAAGTGTTTTTTTAATAACTCTCTTATTTCTTTTGGAGCTCTCGTGCATGCTTCAACTTGACCTGTAACATGTGCTATATGTTGTTTCATCCTAGTAATTCCGCCGTGAACAATTTTACCACAATAATTGCATTTTGCTTGTTTTCTATCATTGCTGATAGGAGTAGCATGATCCCAACCAATATCTCTGTGCGGTGCCATTTTACACAAACTCTGTAATTGAATAATACAATTGTTAAAATATTTATAAATAGTAATTCATTAATTGAATAGACAAATTATATATTAGTTTATTAATAAATCAAACTTATACAAAAATTTAAGTAGATAACTAATTTGTTTATATAAAAAATATAGTTAAAATATTAATTTTTTACAATAAATTTACAATTAATACAAATTTTGTCTAAAATAATATTAATTTTAAATAATAAGATTATAAGTTATTCTAAAATATTAATTTTAATGAACTCAATTTATATAGATTAAATAAAAATTAAATACAATCCAACACAATTAAACTAAATTTATCAATAAATTAAACAAATTATTCTAAATAATTAAATCTAAAATAATTAAACCTATAAATTAAATAAACAAATTAATAAAAAATAATTCAAATTTATAAATATTTAAATTAATTAAAATAATATAATAATTAATTTACCTTCCTCACTCCCCTCCCCACGATTTCCCCCTCCCCCACGATTTCCCCCTGCCTCAGAATCGAAGCCCTGGCCAGACGAAATCGAGTCGTTCCTCGACGGATCCGTCGCCGAAATGTCTCAAATCGGAGCCTCCACCACCACCGCTGCGGAATCGGAACCGCCGTGCTTTATATGCCACGATTTTCTTCACCGACGCGAACGCAGAATCCTCCCACTTCTTCTTCCCCTCCCCCACAATTCTTCTTCAGACGCGAACGCAGAACAGAGGTCTTTCCTCCACGATTCTTCTTCAGCCCACTGGTAAATGTTTTCTTCTCCGATCTGATCGAATTGAGATGAATTGTTCGAATAATATGAATAAAAAGTAGAAAATCGGTAAGAATAAGATTTATAATGGGTTTTATAGATAAGATATGAATGGATGGGAAAATTTTGGGCAAATATCGGATATTTTTTACGAACCGGAACGGTCCTGGTTCCGGATCGGCCGAGTCGGACCGGACTCGGCCGATCCGGCGAACCATGGTCTCCACCATCAAGTTTTGAAAGTTTCGTTCCAGGTTCCATTGTAGTTGAGACAGGGTTACAGTCCTCCATTCTGAACTTCTTTAGAATCTCAATTGCAAATCTTTCCGGAGAAACAAAGATCCCTTCCTCCGACTGCTTCACCTCCAACCCAAGATAATACTTCATCGGACCCAAGTCTGTCATCTCGAACTCTTTCTTCATTACTTGAATTCCTGAAGCAGTCTTATGTTGCTACCGGTGAATATGAGGTCAGCGACATAGAGAGCTACTACCATCGTATCATTTTCAGATTTCTTAGTGTACAGGGCATGCTCGTACGGACATTGCTCATACCCATTTTTCTTGAAATACCCATCAATTCTCTCATTCCAGGCACGAGGAGCCTGTTTCAGCTGGTACAGGGCCTTTTTCAACCTTAGCACCTTCTTTTCGTCTCCTTTCTTCATATACCCGAGAGGTTGCTTGACGTACTGTGAAAATAAGAGCAAAACAAAGAGCAACAAAATGATTTTGATGATTTTCTCTCCTCTGCAGAAACAAAGTTGCCTTCGTGTTTATCCAATCCCAAAAGCTATATTAATTAACTTCTAAACTATTGCTCTATTCCTAATCTATTTAAAGAAAGAAAGTAAATACAATTAATGGAAAATAATTGGACAACAATCATGCAACAATATACGCCTATGCTATAATATACACTAATACCCCCCTCAAGTTGGCACATGAAGACGGGAAATGCCCAACTTGACTAGAAGGTTGTCGAAAACTGGCTTCCCAAGAGCTTTAGTAAGCATATCGGCTAGTTGATGAGATGAAGACACAAAAGATGGACAACAAAGCCACGTTGTATCTCATCTCGAATAAAGTGGCAATCCACCTCAATTTGTTTGCTACGTTCATGAAACACAAGATTCTTAGCTAAATGCAATGCTGGTTTGCTATCACTATAAACCGGAATTAGGAAAAAGTTAGAAACTCCAAAATTCAGTAATAAGCGATGCAACCATTTCAACTCATAGGTAGTTGCAGCAAGAGAACGATATTCAGCTTCAGCCGAGGATTGTGACACGGTATGTTGCTTCTTCGTCCGCCATGAAATTGGCGATTCTCCCTGGCAGATGAAATAAACTGTCAGAGAACACCGCATCAAAGGGCAACTAGCCCAATCAGCATCACAATAGGCTCATAATTGTAGAAGAGATGATGACTTAAAACATTAGCCCTTGCCTAGGATTAGATTTGAGATAGCAAACAACTAGAACAGCAGCATCCCAATGATCTTCCTTAGGACAATGCCTAAATTGCGCCAAAACGTAGACCGCATAAGACAAGTCAGGTCGAGTAATCGTCAGATAAATGAGCTTTCCAACAAGCGGCGGTAGCGAGCAGGATCGACTAAATCGGCACTATTGGATAAAGGGAGATGATGCTTTTGTTCCAGCAGGCTTTGCACCCAAAAGACCGGTCTCAGAGAGAATATCTAGTGCATGTTTACGTTGACTCAAGGATATGCCATTCGTGTCGTGTCCAACTTCTAAGCCAAGAAAATATTTGAGCTTACCAAGATCCTTCATATGAAAACATGTGGAGAGATATGACTTAAACTTGCATCTCATGACCGTTATTTCCACCAATAACCAAGTCATCAACATATATTAAAATCGTCAAATGAAGAGTGTCCTTACTGTACGTGAACATGGAGTAGTCCGAGGTAGATTGAGTAAAACCATATTGAACAAGAGCAGCAGTTAATTTTGCAAACCAACAACACAGAGCTTGGCGAAGTCGATAAAGAGATTTGTGTAGCCAACATACTTGATTATTTTCAGAGACTTCAAAACCAGGAGGAATCCGCATATAAACTTCCTCTTCCAAATCGCCGTGTAAGAATGCATTATGAACATCCATTTGGTGCAGCTCCCACCTTCGGACAACAGCTACGGCTAGAAAAGTTCGAACACTCACCATCTTAGCTGTGGGTGCGAACGTTTCATTAAAATCCAACCCCTCCACTTGATGATTTCCAAAGGCAACCAAGCGAGCTTTATGATGCTCAATTGAGCCATCCGCGTTATATTTAATCTTATAAACCCATTTGCTTCCAAGAGCTTTCTTCCCTTTTGGTAAATCTACGAGTGTCCAAGTACCATTTTTTTCAAGAGCATTAATTTCATTTTTCATGACATCTTGCCAACATGCATGTCTCATAGCTTCCAGAAAACTGGAAGGCTCAACTCCTGCAGTAACCGCAACCAAAAAATGGCGATGCGATATAGAAAAGTTATTACAAGTCACATAGTTAGGTATAGGATATGGTGCACCAGAGGTTGCTGAAACAACGGTGTTCAGACGAGCTGTATGTGTCACATAATCCTTAAGACGAACAGATGAGAACTTTTGTCGGTGGCCTCTCCCAAGTATCTCGGACCTCATTTGATTTTCACCGGCAGGTATATCACAAACTGTAGCAGACAGCTGTTGGTGCATTTGAGATGCATCAATCATGGTCTCTGATTGCTCATCATGGTCATTCAAATCAACATGTTGGTGCATTCGAACATGCTTCCATCATGGGTCACGACAACATCCTTTTCTTGATCCTCAAGTTGTTTAGAAAACGGAAACTCTGTTTTGACGAAAAACACATCACGTGACTCAAAGATCTCTTCGGTGTCCAAATCAACTAGACTCCATCCTTTCTTGCCATATGGATAGCCAATAAAAATGCATTTTCTAGTTCGACTAGCAAACTTGTCCCTAGCTCGGTTCAAATTCTTTGCATAAGTGAGGCATCCGAACACATGTATATTATCCATTAAAGGTCGGCGCCTCATCAACAACTCATATGGTGTTTTACCCTTCAAAAGCGGTGTGGGGGTTCTATTAATAAGATACCCAGCTGTCAAAATACACTGGCCCCAAATCTTAATTAGTTAATGTGCTGGGAAGCGCAATGCTCTACCAACGTTCAATACATGACGATGCTTACGTTCAACACAACCATTTTGTTGTGGCGTATCAACAATGGATGTTTTAAGAACAATTCCTTGTTCTTTCAAGTAAATATTCAAGCAAGTAAACTCTCGACCATTATCATTACATAAAATTTGAACTCTTTTATGGAACTGCGTCTCAGTCAAGGTAAGAAAATTCTTTATAATCGATGGAACCTCATTCTTTCCTTGTAGCAAATATATCCAAACAGCCCGAGAGAAGTCATCCACAATAGTAAGGAAATATCTAGAGCCACATAAAGAAGCCTCACTGTATGGCCCCCACAAATCACAATGTATGAGTTGGAAAGCCTCACTAGCTTTATTTTCACTAGAAATAAATGGAGTTCGGGTTTGCTTTGCTCGCATACAAACATCACAATAATGCTCTTTATTTGGCCCAATGACCACTTTATTTTGCATTTAGGAGAGTAGCTCTAAAACTTGGGAAGACGGATTCCCCATTCTATTGTGCCATAATTTAAAAGTATCGACCTCGACTTCTCTGCGATGCACCTTATTTTGTTCGAGCCAAAAGCATATCCTGCACCAGATATAGTCCACCTTGTTCTTTACCCACTCCAATCAGCATCTTCGAAATGCGGTCCTTGACAACACACATACGATCAGTAAACTTCAAGATATAATTTGTGTCACCCAATAATTTAGATACCGAGACCAAATGGCAATCCAACGCGTTGACAAATAGAACACCCTTTAGAAATAGTTGTCCTAGTTTTATTGAACCCTCCTTAGTAGCTAACACTTTCTCTCCATTTGGCATGATAACAGGACAAGGGTTAATGTCCCGGCATTCACAGAGCAATCCAATATCTCCAGTCATATGATGTGAAGCTCCCGTGTCAAAAATCCATTGAAATGATTTCTTACCGGTTAATCGATTCGTTGAGGTGGACTTGTGATTATTCCATAGAGACTTCAGAATTTCCCAATCTTCACTTTTAAGATCTTCAAGTCCAACTTTGTCAGCATCACGAATTGTATTGGTGGATGAAATGGGTCGATTAATTTGAGCAGCATTTACCTTTGCCAATTGCCCTACTCTTCCCACTTGAGCACCTCTTCCTCAACCACGATGACCTAGTTGATTGGCTCTCATTCCGGAAAACCATGAAGATGATAACAAGTATCTACTGTATGGTCTGTGCGTTTGCAATTTGAACATATCAAACCTTCTCCCCGATCCCCCCCTTGATTTCTTTGTTGCAAGGCTCATAGCTTCATGCCGCTCACCGCCGCCCTGTGTCATGACTCTAACTTGCTCCTGCTTAGTGATTTTTGAATAGATATTATTCATATTCGGCAAGGGATCAGACGCAATAATGTTTGATCTTATTGTGTTGTAGTGCGTATCATCCAATCCCATCAGAAATTGATGAACTTTTTCTTCTTCGCTACGCTTTGTCAATTTAGCATTGATATCACAATTGCACTCGTTACAAGTGCACAAAGGCATTTGATCATAGTCGTTAAGATCATCCCACAATTTTTTAATCCTTCCATAAAAGGACATGATAGAGTCACTTCCTTCTTTGCAGTTTGCAACTTCAGTCTTCAATTGATGGATTCTCGCACCATTTCTCACCAAAAACCTTTGTTGTATATCATCCCATAATTCCTTTGTAGTTTCTCTATAAGATATCGTAGACCTTAAACTTGGTTCGATCGTGTTGAAGATCCAAGAAATTATCATGGAATTGACTGTCCACCAGTCCTCTATCTCTTCCGAATCATTAGTAGGTTGTTTGATTGTTCCAGTAATAAAACCCATCTTCTTCTTTGCACGTAATGAGACTTTGATCGCCTTTACCCATTCTTCAAAATTAGGCCCTTTCAATTGAGTATGAGTTAATAGATTACCTGGATTATCATTGCTCGTGAGAGCATATGGAGAAATAGACGATGAAGTCATCTTGGCAACCTTGTTCTAATCATCAACTACGAAGAAAAGGATGAAACGATCAAATAATTACTCTATACCATGTGAAAATAAGAGCAAAACAAAGAGCAACAAAATAATTTTGATGATTTTCTCTCCTCTCCAAAAACATATTTATTAACTTCTAAACTATTGCTCTATTCCTAATCTATTTAAGGAAGAAAATAAATACAATTAATGGAAAATAATTGGCCAACAATCATGCAACAATATACGCCTATGCTATAATATACACTAATACGTACACCTCTTCTTTCAGCATTCCATTTAAAAAAAATTGACTTTACATCCTTCTGTAGGATAGGCCATTGATGCAGCTAAGGAGATCAGTAGTCGGATTGACTCCATTCTTGTGACGGGAGCAAAAACTCCATCATAGTCGATCCCCTCCTTTTGTATATAACCTTTTACTACAAGTCGAGCTTTATAGCGCTCAATCTTTCCCTCAGCACTCATCTTTATTTTATACACCCACTTCAGTCCAATGGCTCGAGCTCCTTTCGGAAGGTCGGCTCCCATGTTTGGTTGCATTCAATTGCCTTGATCCCTTCATGCATGGCTGTTCTCCACTTCTCATCTTGGACAGCTTTCTCAAAATTCAAGTCTTTGGAGTCGGCCAAAAGACATACAACATGAGCTTCATTTATAGTGTCGTATATTTCCTGCAGTCTCATCCTAGGCTGTTGGGGCCCTATTTCTTCATCTGAGGACCCGCTGATTGTTGCTGTTGAAGGCAGAAAAAACTCCGAGCTAGTTTCTTCTTCGCCCGGGTTACTCCAGCACCATTGCTTTGTTTCCTCCACGTGAACATCTCGGCTTACCACTACTTTATTGTTGACAGAATCAAATAATTTATAAGCTTTGGAGTTCTCATCATACCTGATAAAGATGTATTTCCTGCTCCGATCCTCCAGCTTCGTTATGTGCTGACTCGGCATTTGCCCATAAGCAACGCTACTGAATACCTTCATATGAGACACGTTAGGTTTCTTACCACTTCAAATCTCCTGAGGTGTCTTCTCACCTAGCTTTGCATGTGGACATCTATTATGCACATAGACTGCGCACTGTACCGCCTCTGCCCAATACTTCTTTGGCATATTCTTTCCTTTCAATATTGATCGAACCATATCAAGGATGGTTTGGTTTTTTCGTTCTGCCACACCATTTTGCTGTGGAGAATACCGGGCTGTTAAGAAATGCCTGATCCCATGCTCCTTGCAGTATTTTTTGAACTCGGCAAAACGAAACTCGCCTCCTCTGTCGGATCGAACTGCTTTGATGACTTTGCTTGTTTCCTTTTCCACCATAACTTTGAATTTCTTGAAAGTTTCAAACGCTTCTGATTTTTCTTTTAGAAAATAGATCCATGTCTTCCTTGATAAATCGTCAATGTAAGAGACGAAATATCTTATGCAACTGAATGATTCTGTAGTTATCGGCCCACACAGATCGGTGCGAATGAGTTCGAGTTGCTCCTTCGCTCGGTACTCAGAACTTCTTGGGAAAGAAGATCTCGCCTGCTTTCTGATCACACATTCTTCACAAAACCTCTTTTCGAACTCCATTTTTTGGAAGTCCGACTACCATCTCCCTCTTCTGGCACGTATAGTTACGATTGTGCTTCGTAAGAAATGGTGTTTAAATTTATTTTTTAATTTTAAAAGATATTTTGGATTTTAAAAAGGTAAAAACGCTGTAGCGCTTTTGAAAAACTATGAACGATTTCAGGGCCACACTCTTGTGCTTTCTTCTTCCCCTCCTTGGTGCCGAATAGAGTTCACACTAAGCAAATTTCAGAAAGTTAGGGCACAACTCGTTCTTCTCCTTATCGACGCAATTTCTCACTCAGCAGACGCGACGTAGTGGGCGAAGGTGGGATCGAGGATGTTAATCGGCACCGGCGTCCAGGTAATGTTTTTAAGTTATCTCGAGTAGTATGAGGATCGATCCACGGTTCTTCGTCGCGTCCTCTGTAAGGAGAAATCGAAATAGGGCGTCGTAATATTCTTCTTATTTCTCAGGTGGTATTGGGAATTGTATGGCTTGTGTGTGATAAACAGAACTTGATTAGTTGGTAGGATAACGTATTCTTGTGTTAGAGAACTAGCAGGCAGATTGTTTAAGTGTCCTGTGATGTTGCGTGCGCATTCAAAATGTCTCTTTGAAGCAAGTTCTTACCTTTTTCCTTTTGGGTTTGTAAATGATTGTTCTTAGCTTTCTCATATATTTTATACCTGAAGTTTATTTTAAATACAAGCTTAAATTGTCACCCAGCATAGTGGGCAAACATTTAGGAAAATAGAAACAAACTGCTATGTCCTGGTTTATCGGATGGTGTGAAGTTTGATTTATTAATGGTGTAATTTTATCACATGTAGATCCGACTTGTGTAATGGACTTCAATCTGGAGTTGCATAAACAGTAGTAGGGTTGTGTTGAAACCTGTAGAATAGTCATAAGTAGATGCTATTTGCATACTTGCTATCTTTGCTTACTATGTGAACGATTGACTTATAAGAAATTTCGATAGCACCGATTTGATCTGTTAAATTGGCATATCTTACATTACTGCTAGTTACTGGTTCCATGAAATCTTCTATGTACCCAATGATCGATTGCTAAACTGCCATCATGTTTGATGCATCTATGATTATGTTACTAGCATTCCACTTATTTTTGCATTTGTTTCTACTATGCAGCGATGACATTAGGGAAAGGTGCAGAACCAGGAGCCGGAGCAGAAGCTAAACTTTGAGAATTTATTAGTATTTTCAAATCTATACAGAAGTTCCTTTGGATTATGTGTTTACTGTGCTTGGACTTAACTAGGGCTGCTATGTACGCAGGGCCATGCCTTCTGCTTCAACTCGGGATTTGCTTGTCTTTACTCTACTTCAGTACTGAGGTTGTGACACTCTATCCTTACCTTATCTATCAGTGTTATTTTTTCTTTTTTTGGTTCATAGAAAAGAGATGCATTGAACTGTACAGTCGTGCTGCATATGATATGGATCTTAATAGATTGCTTATTGCCTTCTTCATTTTCTTCTAAATCTCACTGATTTCGCTTTTTTATGGAGGTCTCTGCACGGCACTGCTTCATTGGTTTTCTACATCTGTATGCATTTGTGGAAAAAAATATTCGTAACGCGAGTACACATTACGGAAAAAAGTCATAACGAAGGCGTAGCAAATACGCAAATTGCACAAAAAATGGTTTTTTGTTACGATTTTCCGGCCGTAGTAGAAAACAGTTTCTTTAGTAGTGTTCTCAAGTGTCTTGATATGTACAGTGAATTACATACTCACATATTTTCCTTGCGAATATTGTAGGTGATTCACTTTTCCTTGTCAAGGTGTTTGTGGCATCCGTCTTAGTCCTAGACACACCCCTTATTTTAGAGCAACTCCAATTCGTTATGTCATGTTATACATACAGTTGGAATGTGTGTTAATATATACGGTGAACTATATACTCATAAATTGCATTTGTGAATATTGTAGGTGACACACTTTCTCTTGTCAAGGTCTTCGTGACATCCGCCTCAATCCTGGACACACCTCTTATTTTGCTGATCATTGTTGGGGCGACTACCATTCGCGACGTTGTCGATGAAAATCCTATTAAGTGGAACTACAAAGACGTACGGATCTACTTTCATACCTTTCATATATTGAATTTCAAAACTTAAAAAGAAATATAAGTTATACTATACCTCTTATGTTGGCAATTGCAGCTCATGTGCCACCCCTGAAGCATATTAACCGATTGCCTGTTTTGATGGTAGGTTGTTATGGCTATGTGAACTACCTATGTATTAGATGTATATACATTTGGAATTATCTTTTTTGTAGTGAGAAATGTGGTTATGGATTGATGGATAGCCCTACTTGCTTATTACTAGGTTGGATGTTTGAAATTCTTGCGTTTTGCGGAACATAATGTCGTAGTGGAGATGTTGCTAGGCTTGTTCGATGGATTACTTAATTTTGTTGTTAGGTGATGAACATCGACTAGTAAATATTTTTATGTTAATATCTTATGTTGGGAAGAAGATTTTACGTTGTCTATTGTTCGCAATTATGACCAATCGTGATATTTATAGTATGGTTGTATACATAATTTCTTTCGGTATAAGGAAGATCACAAAAGGTCAATTTGTTACGCACAATTTCAACTACATCAAAACTACTATTTTTTGTTAGACGCTATTTTTCCGTAACAGAAGGATGAAATGACGTAACAAAAAGTGGTTTTTGGATGTTTGTTGTTACAACCGATTTCGTGACCATAAGAAAATATATTTTTTTATTACGATTCAATGACGTAACAAAAAATCATAACATAATCGTACTCTGACAAACGGTCACTCTAAGTTTTTTTGTAACGCGAGGAACTTTCGTAACAAATATCGTGACTAAAAGTCCTGCCACACGCACGGAAAGCTCAACATTTGATTACGAGAGAAAATTCGTAACAAATGTCGTAACAAAAACCCTGTCATAAGGAGCGTTGACCGACAGTAATAGTTTCGAAAATTGGTGTGGCAAAAAACATTCGTTACACGAGTATACATTACGGATAAAAGTCGTCACTAAAGCGTAGCAAATACGTAAATAGTACGAAAAATAGCTTTTTGTTACGATTTTTCGGCCGTAGTAGAACACTATTTTTTTGGTAGTGTTTCCCACCATTTTAAATTTTCATTACAAATATTTAGTGCCGAAATCCAATATAATATAATAACACTGTGTCATTACATACATAAATATATGAATAGCAGAAGATAATCAAATAATATAGAAAATTTAAATAACATATATGATATATTTAAAAATTGAATATAAATATACTAGATGATATAAAAACCGGAGAAGAATGTAGAATAAAGCGACATGAATAAATTAAAATAAAAGAAATAAACCGTAAATTATATATCCAAAAATTAGAATATACTAGATGATATAAA